GCCATAGTGGTGCAGCGGTTAGAATGCCGCACTGCAAGGCTAACTCACTGCTCACTGCCAGGAGTTCAATTCTGACTGGCTCAAGGTTGACTCAGCCTTCCATCCTTCTCACCTTGGTAAAATGAGGGCCCAGATTATTGAGGGCAACAGGCTGACTCTGTAAACCACTTAGAGAGGGCTGTAAAGCACTGTGAAGCGGTATATAAGTCTAAGTGCTACTGTTATTGCAGTATCCTCATAGTCAGATGATCACAAAGTTCAGGTGCTTGGCAATTGATTTGTATTTATGACGGCTGCAGTGTCCTGGGGTCAGGTAATCACTTTTTGTGACCTGACAAGCAAATTTCAGATTCATTTAACAAGCACGTTAATAACTTAATGATAACTTGGTGATTCACTTAACCACTGTGGCACAAAAGGTCATAAAATGGGGCAAAACTCACTGAACAAATGTTTCACTTAGCAACAAAAAATTTGAGCTCAATTGTGGCCATAGTCCTCGACTTATAACTTGGTCACTAGCGATTGTTCAAATTCCAAACTACTCGGATAAAGGGAGTTGAAACCCAGTCCAGGCAGTCCTCTCACCCCCACCCCCCACACAATTTATACAACTGCACTCAACAACCCAGCCACATTTACAGCAATTTGTTGTATCCTGCAGTCACGGGGCTGCTGACACATTACTTCCCGTTTTCTGGAAAATGGCACTGCTGCAAATAATGGGTTTGGTTAACAACTGCAGCATTTATTTAATGACCGCCACAAAAAAGGTCATAACATTGGATCGGTCACAAGACCGACCAGATTTACAATGGTCACAACATACGGCCTTAGTGGGCAGGCTCCAAACGGTCGTTATGTTGAGGATATTTGCAATCACTTTATTTATTTATTTTAAATCACATTTCCTTGCTTTTGGGAGAAAGAAGCCAGCAGGCATTTAGAATTCTACATGTAGGTTTATGCTAGTTGTTACAAGAATATTTGGTAATAACATCTGTCTCCTGAAAGGCAGTGATATCCCCGAGGTTGGGGGGGGGGTGGAGAGAGAAGGAATTTGAAGAATTGGGAACTCTTCGGTAAAACAGACGTGTGTGTCAATCCTCTTGGAAGCGTGATGTGTTTCTTTACTTATTTGTGGAAGAGAGAAAAACTATGCCTGCAGAAACGGGTGGTCTTCTTTAAAACGTCTGCATTGCAAATCTTGCAAAAAAGGGAGTTTGGGAGCCCCATGAAGAGGCAGGAACAGGGGACATTTTAGCAAGACGAGAGAAGTCAATCGGTGTTAATACCGGGTCAAAAACAGAGGAATGGCATTTTTATTTTTTTTTACCTGTTTGATAAGGGACGGTACAAAGTGGCGATAAGCTGAAATGTTAACAAACAAAAGAGGCCAATACTGAAGGACGCAGAGGATATAAAAAAAGCACAGCAACCGATAGCGACGCAGCCTCGCCAAGAATAATACAAACAAAGCCCCGAATGTGCAAAGAGCTTTACAACGCGTGGTGCTGGTTGGAACCACTGGCCGATCGGCTGTACTTTTGCCGAAGTGAAGTCCGACAGGGCTTGAAAAGGCCGAAGAGACCGAATAGCGAGCCGTTCGGGATGCAAATGTGAAAAGAGAATCGTGATGGGGGGGGGTGAGGGGGTGGGAAGGGAAAGGCTTCCTCGCCAGCAATCACTCACCATCCGCACACCGATCTTGGCTCTCAGGATCTGTCCACAGATTATGGCTTTGAAAGCAGCAACCGCTGAAGGTTGATCTGGGAGTAAAATCTCCCTGAATTAAACGAGCTCACCTGGTAATGGAGACAATTGAGCTATGCTGCTTTCCAGGCAGCTGAAGGGCTGGACTTGGGGTTAAATCTTTAGGCAAGGGACTGGCTTCCCAGCATTGTTACAGGGGTTCCTGCTAGTCTCCAGGTTTATTGATATGATTATTAGCTTGGTCTAGTAGTTAAGGCACCAGACTAGAAAGTG